AGTCTTAGGTGATTTTTGTAAAGCAGCAAGATCGTCGAATTTGTCTTCCATCGATGGGCTAGATTTATCATCCATGCTCTTATTCAATTTGCTTGGCGTTTTAGTAGTTTTCTGGTCTTCAAAACTTCGACTTATTTTACCGGTTAGTTTATTATCTAATTTTTTCGGAGATTTTGCTATAAATACATGATCTTCTGCCTTGCTATTGATCTTAGTCTCAATGATTATTTTGTCACCTTCAGTTTTGACAACGATCTTGTCTTCTGGCGGTGGGAATGGCGGCATGGTGTCTTTTACTGGACTAATTAAAGTCTTGGTTTGCTTTAAGGCAGCTTCAAACAACATCTGTTGTTTTTCTTTACGTTTTGCGATTTCAGTGTCACTATCTTCTTGTGACTTTGTTCTTTCTTTACTATTACCCCGTTTAATATCCATCTTCTCTAACGACTTGGATTTTTCTTTAGCTATTTTCTTGGCTGTTTGTTCTAATTCCTGACTCTTAGCTCGGGCCATATCAAGTGGAGGTACAGTTAAGAAATCTGGGCGTTCCTTTAGAGAAGAAGGCAACGACTTTTGAGTTTGCAAAGCTTTAACTTTAGTGGCATTTGTATCTAGAGAACCTCCCTTGTTGAGTTTATTACTTATCTTCTGTTTCTCGTCGGGTTTCGGTTTAAGTGTTAATTTCTTCTTTTCCTTACGTTTGATTCTTTCAATGTCTGGCACTATTTGATCTTCGCTTAAATCTGATAATTTCCTGATGCTACCTCTAGGCGAATTCAGCGAAGAGGTAGGCGATCGTGACGGTGACTTCGAAATTGGTGACCGCGATAATGGCGACCTGCTTATTGGGGAACGCGCTGCTTGAGATTTTATTTTCGACAAATCGTATCTGCGTTTGAACGAACGTGGACGTCGTTGTTCAACTAAATCTTCTAATAATTGCATTTCTTCATTGTCTATAACCACAGACTTAAGTTCTTCCGGTTCCACAGGTTGTTCTTCTTCAACCTCTTCGATTTTATCAATAGTATCTTTCTTCGCAGCTATTGGTTTCCCTTTATCATCTATTAAAGGTTTCTCTTCCAAAATCTCGCCTTCTTCATTAATATCTTCGACCGTATCGTCTTTTGATGAGAACGCATTCATTGGCGGCAGTCTATGTAACTGAATAACCGGTGTGTCCAAACTTTTAGCTCTACGGCTCGCTGTTGGCGAGTCTTGCGTCGCTTTTTGACGCTGTAGGGAAAATACTGACCCTTCAGATAGATTTAATCGAGCATGCGCAAACAATATCGGAGTCCCACCAGGTTTACGTAGCATTGGCGATATTAATTCATCTCTTAGACTTTTCTTTACGTCTAGTTTATTAGAATCTTTTTTGTCATCTTTTACATCTGTTTTATCATCGGACTGAATTCCTGTCACTTTCTGAATCTCCATATCTGCCAAGTGTTCGTCGTCCGATTTGAGAAATTCAGTACTCTCTAATATCGGCGATGGAATATTTTCATTATATTCCCAAGGTGAACTCTCCTTACTCGACTGTTTCACTTCTGTAAACTTTATAGCAACGTCGTCTTCTGAACTGGGAATCGATATAGAGCGCTCTGATATTCTTCGTAATTCTGTTGCGTTACCACTCATGCTGTCAAGTACTTGAGGGTTGTATTTCGCTTCTAACTCGGCTAACTTCCTGCATTGAGGTGGAGAACCTTCAATTTCTGTTGAGCTCATAGTTTGACCTCTATGCCAAGCTCCAGAAGTGATTTTGTCATATTCCAATTGGAGGATAGGTTCCAAGTCTTTACGAGATTGTGGCGGCGAAAACTCGAGTTTGGGAGCAGCTTCAGTCGTACCGAAAACATCATCAGAATCAACACTTTCATCATCAGATGAAAATGAAGTAATTCTAATCTTATTGTTACTTTTCCCTTTTATTTTACTTCCTGTTCCTTTCTTTCCTGTACCTCTTGCTTTTTGACCACGTTTCGGTGGAAGCTTTTCAGATTTCGACTTGATATCTGCTCGTAATTTTTCCGCCGCTGTCATCGGCTTTGGATCCTTACAAATAGGTGGTTGCGCGACATTTCGGCCGTTGATCGTGAATTTTATGTCACAAGGATATATCGGCTCCTGTCTTATGCTGTCAGTCTTAGAGCTAGTTGCTGAATCGCTCTCTATCTGACTGAGTTTAGAATTAAGTGTTTCAAGCAGAACGGGATCCAAATTTTTGGTAATGTCCCTTTTAGGACTCGGCAAATGTTGCAACTGACCGCTTTTATCCACTTCTAATGTCACTGGGTCAACTTTAGATAGATCAATATTTTGAGTAAATAAGAAGTCACGATTTTCAACTTCCAGAAACTTGGAAGTGTGCTCTACTTGTATACTATTTCGTGGTGATTTCGGAGACTTAGGCGATTTCGGTGATTTCGGCGACTTAGGCGATTTGGGAGATTTCGGTGATTTAGGCGATTTTGGAGATTTAGGCGAACGTGGAGATTTAGGATGATCGTGATACTTACACCTAGGATGGGCACTGACAATGTGGCGGCCGTTTTGAGGTGGCAGCATAACTATATCTGGTGGCGGCCGCTGGTCTTCGTGAGGAGATGGCGCAGTGCCATTCATTACATGCCGTTTATGTAACACGTATGGGATATCGTAACCATCATCGACCACTTTTTTGTTATCCTTAAAACCAGCTTTAAACGCATCAAACTCTTTGAAATAGTTTTTAGGCAAATCAAAGGGAGGACGTATATGTTCGGGCAACCGTGATGGTAATTCAAAGTGCGAACGCTTTGTTGCAATCGGTGGCGCACTTGGTATTTGCCGAAATATGTAATCCTCGTCACTTGACTCCGCTGGCGTTAAGTCAATTGATTTCTGGTGCATTAAGACATGTCTGCGAGAATTGACACTGCTAAAGCGAGGTCTATTCGCCAAACTATTTGGATCACTCTTAGTCCGTTCAACAGTTGGGTGAGTATAAGGAACCGTATTATCAGCCAACCGGCTACTTGAGCTCGTCTCCAAAATCAGTTTCGGATTATACTCATCGAAATGAGTTTTTGCCATTAATTCCTCTTTCAAATTCTCTTTCCTGATAATATGAGTGTGCACCTTGCCGCCACGCTTGTCGAATTCCGACTGTAGAATTGAAACCGTACCTGACTGGATGGCGGCTTGTTTTGCTTTATTTTTAGCATATTCAATGCTGTCCATGGCCGGCAAGACTCTCACATTTACATCAGATTCATTCGACGACTCTTTGACAAGATGTGACGTAGCGTTCTCTTTGCTGATTGATCTCGTTAAAGACTCTATTTTTTCTTTATCAAAACTGAAAACTGTGTCTGACGAACGACGGCGCTGGTAGCTATGTATTTTAGCAGCCCTAGTACTATCGATTTCAGTATCAAGACCAACAATCTTTTCAGGCCAAATATGCGTGGTTTGAGGGTGAATATCTTCTTCCTCAGTAGACAACTCATCTGACTTTTTAGGGGGACTCGAATCAGATTCGAACTGACCGGAAAACTGATCTAATTCGACATGCTGTAAGCTAGCAGAATGCATTGGACTAGGTTCTTTGACATGTTTACTATTGCTTGGGAAAGTGGAGTACGGAGTAGAAAGGTAATAATTAGGAGAATTAGCCAGATTCGCGATCAAGTCTTCATGAGACTTGTCGAATAGCGTTTTCTCTCGATACTCAGGCTTTTCCATACTTATGAAGGTCGCTTGGGTATCAAAGAAATCTTTTGTGGAATCTGGACTAGATGATGGAGATATGGGTTCGAATGGGTCTATGTATGCATTCTGTATACTAGTAATACTACGTCGCCTCATACTTATTTCATCGGGCTCATACAAATTCTTTTTACAATCGTAATAATCTGACTTGGAGTCTTGACTGGAAGTTCGAGATCCAGACCTATCGGAGCTTTTGCTTTTAAGAGTCTCCCGAGATTTCTTACTATCTGTATGATAAACGCTGTCCCGCGACTTTTTGCTAGATTCGGCGCTACTTTTCGATATTTTGGAATCGTAAATATCACTCTTCGACTCTTGGCTAGAAGTTCGCGAGCCAAGCGCTCGTTTAATTTCCTTATAGAAATTGCCATCAGAACGTACCGAGAGCTTTTCTCGAGGTAGGACTCGCGGATCGTCCACAAGAAACGGATCGAGTGGGATGTCATTGCTACTACGGTAGTGGCAGACGACTTCATCGGGCGCTCCCTGGTCGTCGCTCTCGGAGAGGTGCGACAGGGAGCGGTCGTCGTCGGAGGGGAGGTCGTTACCTGAGTCCAACGAGCACGAGCGCGTGTGTGCCACGCTGCGCCGGCCCACGGGCTGGATGCGCGCGTAGCGGCGCGTCTCCGACTCGTCGTCGGAGCGCTCGATAACTTCGTAACTATCATGCGACAAGTCGTCTTGCGACCCCGTGCGCGCGAAGGGCATGTCGAGGCGCGGCTCGCCGATGGCACCTGGAAACGAAGAGGAATAGGCGCGGCCCAACAACATGGCAGCCGACTCCGCGGAGCCGCGCTCGCCGAAGACGAAGGCGCGCGTGCGAGCCTCGTCGTAGCGCGTGACGGGCGAGTCCAGGCGCGCCAGCGCGTCCAGGTCGGCCAGCAGCGAGCGCGCGTCGCGGCGCCGCTTGGCGCGGCCGGCCGAGTCGAAGCTGTAGTCGCGCAGGTTGCGGCAGGACGCGCTGCGCCTCCAGCTGAGGCGCGCGCGACTCGCCGGCTCTTCCTCTTCCTCGTCCTCCACGTGCAGCGACCCGCCCGAGCGACTCGAGCGCGTGGACGGGCACGCCGAGTAGATGTTGCTCTGCGACAGCTCGTACTCGAGCCGCTCGGACGACTTCTTAAAGCTCGAGGAATGCTTCGCGAGCACGAAGTCCGGGTAACCGCTAGAGGGGGGCTCGGCGGCGGGGAGCGGTGCAAGTCGCGCGGTGAGCGGGGAGGGGGGCGAGGCGGGGGGGCTCTGACCTGGGCGCGCACGCGGCGGCGGAGTGGGCGCGCGGCCTCGCCCACTCGCACGCCCCAAACTCGCCTGGCTCCATGTACTCTCCGGAGAAACCTGACCAATGTACAACAACAAAGATTTAATCTTGCATTCACACTGCAACAAAATAATTTTTAGTTACTAGCAACACGAACCAATGGTGTCGTCGTCCGATGAGGCAGAGGCGAATCCTCCGTAGGATGATGATTGACCTCGGCATGGGTCACTAGCTCGGGAGCCTGTGGGACGATACGAGCCGGTTATTCAAGTGTGCCGGACAGCTAGATGGGCTGGTTACATTTAGATGGACCCCGTGCCGTAAGTGCGTTACGGAAAATGTGCGAGATGGCATGATGTGTGCTTTGACGATTGCAATCAATTCCCTTCACCCACAACAGTAAAAGATTGTACAAAAGTGTTAAAACTTAAAATTGAAACCAATGTGATGTTAAAGTTAATATTAGCGCATATCAGTATCGAGTCAGCTGTAGAAACTGTTGAACTTTACGCAATCATAATTATTTGACGCTTTTGTGGCACTATTATTTTAGTATCGTAGTATGCTAACTCGGTACACTATGGCTGTTAAAAATATACACAGAAAAGTAAAGAATATAATACATAGGTAAAATACGACTCGCATACATTTGACCGTTAAAATATGAATAAAGAAAAGACCCATGATAGCTGAACCATGCCATTGTCTAGTTTGGTTACAAACTGGATTAATGAACATTTCAAGCAAAAAATTATTGTTTTGATTTTTCTAAGACTTTCTATCTTCTAACGTCACAAAGGTATATTTTGTATAAAACTTTTACTATGATCAGATTCGTATTTCATACTTAAGTATCGAATGAATAAGATCGTTTATTGAATGTAACCAAACGAGACACACGATAAAATGACGAAGAACAGTTAGATATGATCCAGTAAGTTTAGAAACATTGTAATACGGATAATACAAGCCAATTTATATTGGGCCCTTACGATTTGATTGCAGTACAGTTTTGAAAGCTGAAAGAAACAAATACAAATCTATGTGAAGTTGGAACAAAGCTTTGGAACAAAGTTTTTTGCATGTGTACTAATGTATTTACATGGTACAAGAATAAAGACAATATAAATGATTTTAAAATACAAATTAATAATGAAATTATTGCTGTTTTACGGAACAGTTTTGAATAACGTTGTCCAAGTGTTAAGAAGCCTCTATTTTTACACCATGTTATTTATATTTGTTCTCTACGTCTAAAAATATAACGCTACACTGAAAAGTAGACACTTTGTTGTTAAACTAAAGTATTTTTAAAATTTTTAGAGACTTATTGTAATTGAAAGCGGTGTAAATACTCTCTATTTGCATGTCGATTCCGTACATATCTACCAATATTGAATAGCATGATACATTTCTTATGCCAGTTTCATAATGGTTATTGAGTTATCCAGAAAAGGCTACAATAATAGAAAGACATTCAATGTTATGGTAACAAAACTACTCATCTAATTAAGATATATTTAATTACATATATACCTTGACGATGCACGTTAACAAATTCAGCACTATTCGTGAGATTTAAGACATAATAAGAACTTAAGGGAATTTTTTGTAAGGAAAAAATCATCAAATGACTCTTCCCGCCCAACACTAGGTGTGGGGAGGGAGTGGGAGACTTTAACTGACTAAAAACCTCCGTTCATTGTCCAACACTAGGCCGAGGATTCTGTCTGTGTGTGTGATATATAGCGTGTGATGCGTACCTTGTCCCTCGTGGTGACATATGCGGTAGCTGCGAGCGGCGGGCGAGTCGCGGCCGCGGGCCGCCGCGCCCGCTGCGCCGCCGCGCGCGCTTCCTCCGCACTGTAGCCCTTCATCATCAGAGAAGCCTCCAGGTAGTGAGGTTGCTTGTCCCACTCCAGGGAAATCGCTGCAAACATCACCACGTTCATTTCACAGCTCCACTGAACAGGCGGGACCACGTGACGAACTAGCTCGAGCGGGACGTCGCTTGGGAACACTCAACATTGAATTGGAAACGGAATGGAACATTAGAATGAAGGAGAAAGTAGGTGCAAAATGTCGGACAAGTAAGGAGAGGAGGCTGTATAGTGTGCGGTGAGGCGGGTACGTACCGTCGGAGCCGGGCGGCAGCGGCAGCAGCGGGTGCGCGGAGAGACTCTGGTTGAGCGGCGCGGGCGGCGCCGGCGCCACGTTGCCGCGCGACCCGCCCACGGAGCGCGACGCGCGGAACGAGCCCGACCTGCGACAGTCGGGCAGAGGATGGTGACCGCTGGCACCAGCTTTTGGTTTGTGTGTGGCCCTCCGCACTCGGCACATACTGCCCGGAAATATCTGTGCACTTCCTCCCCCCTACTTCTGCTCTAACGCCCGATTTGTCCGCTCTTTACTTATAACCCCACTAGATAATGGCGCAAATGCTAGTCGAATGAAATAAACAAAACAATCAATATATGGAATTGACTTTGACATCTTACAACAGTCAAGGGCTTATGTCAATCTCTATGCGTTGAATATTTAATACAAAAGTCAATGTACGCCATTGACATAAGCTTGCGTCAATCCCACTCATTGACTTTTTTGTTCTATTTTATTCCAGTAACATTTGTACCATTTGTCTAGCGGGGCAAATTGACTTCTTGACGCGACTGAGAAAAGCGCACAGATATTTCTGACGTACGTTATTCTCGACTTCCTACATTCAGTTACAAGTGCTCGGCTAACATGTATCCTTAACATAAGTGGCTCAGTCGCTGTGTGTGCACTGGCACAAATTGTTCATTAGTAAATGATACAATGCATTTTGACCCTTAAAGACATTAAAGACAATGACGCTTGTAAATAGTGTGTGTGCGCCAGAACTCAAAATGTAGGAAGTCAAGCACCCGTACAGTATGTAATCTGTGCCCTTACGTTACGCGTCGCGCCGCGACAGGCCTGCGGTCCTCATGCGTCAAGCAAGCGTGACCAACTAAGTTCTAGTGACAACCGACCAGTATATAAGTAAGACCGCGACGTAGATGTGAATGAGAGCGCAGACCCGTCGTAGACAGACCCTACAGATACGAATACGACAACACCATCCTCCGACCGATTGTCAGTGCCGTCGCAACGCAACGCACTCGCCACTACACCGAACTCGTTTATTTGGAAGAAGCGGAAATTTCAACGGATACAGCGCATGCTCGAGTATATGCTAATCACCATCGATTCATACAAAACTATCGAAGCCTCGCGCTAACCAATTCGATTGTTCGAGGGACTTGTATGTTACATCATGCATCTGTTCGTTACGACTCGCTTCTCTTGTCACACAAACGCCCACAAGACAAAACCAAAAGCTAGTGTCTCCCAGCCCATGCTAACCACTCACCTTTGGTACACTTGGTATTAACTTAAGCTAGGCGTACGACCTACCTACGCCGGTTCGTTGGCTATTGTACCACACTATAGTACATCTATAAGCGTTGTCTAGCTACGCCTAGCTGCATTAAACACAGTAAGAAAGCTATTTATATCAACTATAGCGGCTTAAGCTTATTCATTATTTTATACATGCAATATTTACATGAGGCAGAATTGGCATATTCAGCTTTGATGTCAATTATGCCTCATGTCAAATTTAGATTCTACATAGAGTATTTAGAGTACATATTGGCATAATAGCTAAGCTTATATATAACAGTATTATATGATAATTATAGTCGTACCTTTGGAATGTTTGCCGCTTCACATAGTTGTCTCTCACGTACTCGACGATTTGTTTCTGAGTTTTTCCGCTATACCTGTATAAATATTGGGAAAAGTTGAAATTAAAATATTATCATTGTATAAACTATTATTTGTTTACTGTATAAGAATACCTTAGCCTTAGGCCAGTGAAGTTAATACTACTTCATGTCTTCCATTTTTTTTTTGTCAATGAGACTATTTATTGAAATGAGTGGGTGCTTTATGTAACATGCTCAAATGAATAATATAACTGTGTTATATAAAGTACCCATTTTTCGCTTGTTATAAGAAGACTCATGTTTTGGGGTACAAGAATATAGCCATGTATTATTATTTACCAAAGAACATTACAGGTCATAAAATATTCTCTAGTAAATTTGGTATGCTTTGATATACAATATTTTTATAACAAATATACAGCAAGTTTTATTTATAAAAACCCATCCATATAGAATAAAATGTTTTGTATGATAAGGCTGTCCAACAATATTCTTAAAATGTGACAGTCTAATGTTTTTTTTTTTTAATGAAATACTCAAGGAAGTGCTAAATTAAATACTTAACACAATCGAGCTAGTGCAAAATGTTTAAGTCACTTAATACAGGTGTTTCAAAAGAACCACATAAAGCGTCTCAAGTTCTAAAACAACTCACCTAAACGAGGATCCTCTGGAGATGACCCTGGTCTTCTGGCGGGGCTGTCGCTGCACACTAGAACAGCGGAAGAACCCATGGTTCTCCACGCACTTCTTCCAAAAGTTCTTACATTCATTACGACCGTCGAAAAAGAATTCCACAACATCGCGGTAGTAGCCCTATTCAATAAAAAAATACTATAATTAATTAATTTTTTCGACAATACTATACATTTTAACTGGGTCGATTTGACCCTGATTACTTCGAATACTTTTCACCATAGTAAACAAAGTCTTAAATTAAAAATCTTAAATCTCTCGATTTATTCTAATTGACATTTTATATACGAATAATTTCCTATAATACGGTAGTTTCCAACTAGTCAAATTCAATACTTTTACCCAAACGTCAAAAACGTTACTTTTCTATGAAATTTGTATAAAAAACTGAGCTATGACGTCATAACATTTTTGCGTCAAATAGCTTACTTATTTCACAATATTTTGCTAAAAAAAATTAAATCCTGGTGTATCGATCCATCGATGAATAAAAGTATAGTTATTTTTCAATATTTTTGTAGGAAGTTTACCTAGGAAACTACCCAATTCTATGCATATCTGTTAAAAGCCTTTTTCAACTACTTACAATATAGTTTCAGAAATTAAAAAACTAAGCGAAAGTAAAAGTAAAAGTTGAAAAATTGCTTTCGACTGGAATTCTCTGTTTGATTACAATTTCATGACAATCCTTGACGCATAAAAGAATAAATGTATGTACTCACACTGACATATCCCTCAGGGTGCAGTTTGATAAGGAACTTTTTCCTCTTGAACGATATCTTTCTTATCTTAGCCCAGCTGAACGTGTTGATCTTCGTGTAGTTCTGAAACACTATTATACCCAAGTGTGCTACTGCGAGGTTCAGGGGAACTCCTTCATGGTCCTTCGCCGGATGCATTTTTATACCTGGAACAATTGTGTTTTTATTAAATTATCTCCGGCATTATTATATGTGATCACTGTTATGCATTTCTCCACGAATTAATAAATGAATCGATCTCCACGCTTGATCAAGGCGGTTTGGCGAGTAAAGACATATAATTAAGAAAACTTAAGTGCATATTTCCTGGGGTTTTCTTCACAAGTTTTATCTTAGAAAGTACATTGGTACTTGCCAGCTTGAGAAATATGAAAAGCGAGCTCAAAAACCCCCAGAACACAACGACATTAAAGTTTTAAGTTGTAATTAAAATTATTATATTGGTAACTTTTTTGTTCTCTCATTTGGTAAAGAATTATGAACTTCCTTAAAGCAAGAACTTTTAAAAATACATATTATAATAGCATGTAATGTGTTGGACTGATCCGGGAAACCTTGTGTTAGTTTATCCGGTGTCAAGCGCGTAGGATATAGTCAGAAAAACTATGTACTGTGTAATTTAATCCTAATAAGGCCGTCTCAACATGACCACGTTTGCTGAATTAAAAGCGAAGCGACATAGAAGAATATAATAAAAACTACAGAAATAATTATAATTATTATACAGAAATGTAACTTAAACAATTCTAGCTCAATAGTCCAGTCAAATTAATGACGAACCAATCAGCAACAAATATCAATATAACCTACCAATCAAAAAGCAAACTTAATACTCACCATAAAGTTCGCATCTCCGCGCCGTTTCTAACAAGTTTAGGTCGGCCTCAGCGGGACTCTGGCCTCTGAAAGATAAAAACAAAACAATCACTACATCGGCCCTTATTGAAACAATTATTGGAATTACAGCTTTTACAGATTGCCCTCTAGCAAGGTCAGTGTAGATAAATCTTTATCGCTTTAGAAACGGATTCCCAATCGTCTCTCAATCCCAAAGAAAAAAGAAAGAGATGCATATAAAAAATCAACGGTAAAAATTATCTTATTACGTCACAGATTATAAAGTGCACAAATGAACTTAGGGCGTAAAATAACAAGAAACGAAAATCCCTACTTCAAGTGTTTTTCCACCAAGCATGATCAGACTTTTGGTCGGAGGATCCTCCCTTTTCTTTCTGAACTTCACTCTTTATTCTCTAAGGCCCACCGCTGATTGTGATTTTTGTCACCAAGTCTTTTTGTTTCAAAGTTGAATGCAAAGAAGATATAGGAGATAGGATTATTGCGTACACATGACAATACGGTGACTATAGTATTTGCAGTGTGACTGTCAGCTAACCTGTACATTACTATGGGTGTCTGCTCAATAGTGATTTGGTTTTATTCTGCTTATTTCATTTTGAGATTCATTACATTTTCACTTTTGAACAGTTTCAGTGAACGCTCCGTGAATGACAGTATGTGGGCGTAACAAAAGTTATGAGATAAAATATAAATGAAAAATGGGCTTAAACTTCAAAAACATATTTATTAACTTTGAGCAACTCGTAACCTAATGCAGAACAACCGCCATAACAGTTAGTGAGAGAGAGCTATATATCTGTCTCATTCACACGTAGACCTTATTACATTGCACCTTAATAACTTTTTATAACATTATGGTCACAAACTCATTCAAAAGGATTCAGTGGCGGGTCTAAATCTCCATACGTACATTTATTTCGTGTCTAACGCAATGACGATTATCGATACTGAACTCGACTAAAAGGTCTGTTTCCGCAACTACCGACCTTTGTTTTTGTTTACTACTCTACTATTGTTTTTGGTTACAAAGTTGAGTTTCAACGTATTGAGAGAATAACTAACTAGTTTCGGTTGAACAGAAAAACGTCTGGAAAGTTCTTACGGACTATTTGAATGTCAAGGTCAAATAATTACCGACATATCGATAAGTATTGATTTGAAAACTGTGACTGAATGTACTTAGAACTTGTTAAAATACAAACATTTCAACTAAAACAATATTTTAGTAAATTCTAGTTAAATCTACTTTTAGAGTTATTATATATTAGTAGTATTATTTATTTAAATATTGTAGTGCTCTGTGATGAGCATATGGCATTCTTCTCACACGTAGAAGCTTGTGGAAGTTGGAAGATACCAACTTAT